CGTTCTCGAAGGCCTATGTCCCCGGTCCTGAATTTGACCTTAAGCTTTGTTCCTGCATCCATTGGTCCATGTAGGTAATCCTTGAACCCTATTCCTTCCTTCAACATTCCGTACACTTCTAGACCCTCCTTATCCACCGGGGGGGGGGGTGAAACCAGAGGAACAGTAAACGAAACACCAAGAGATTGAAGAAAGAGAGAGGGCACAAGGGAGCGAGTATTTTCTTATTGTGAGGCGTCCTTAATTGGCCGCGCGTAACGAGACGCGGTGCACAGAAGCTTGTGTGCCTTGCTCTCTCTCTGCACGCGAAATCATCGGGGGGCTGACACAACTTGCAGCGCATTTTTTTAAGCGGGAAGAGTACTACCACTGCGGCATACAAATATTTGCTTTTTTATTGATAGCACGTACACCGCCAAAAACTTCCTGAGCTTGTCTTCGTTAAAAATCTACCATTCGTGCAGCCCCGGAGACAACGTACCGAGCACGTGGGTTCGGTCATACTTCGAGAAAGACGACCCAAATACGTTAGCACGTCTCCATAGCATATGTCTCGTATAGGACAAGGAGGGTCATACGTGTAAATGTCAAAGAAATGTGCATCCACAACAGGAACGGAGGAGTTCAACCTGCAGCTGCTTAAGCGCGACCTCAGACATTACACCGAAACGACGGGGGCAGCCCGAACTATCGAAGGGGAAGATTGGTACCCTCCATTTCATTCGATGGTTTGGTTTTGTTGTCTCAGCCTGAACAGAAGGTCCTGACCTTCTAACACCCGTATTGGCCCAACTGTTGTTGTTATCGTCGCTTACAACCTATTTCGTTATCTTCTCAGTACCTTCGAACATTCGCATTGCTCCAATTGACATCGACGCCTTCCATGGTCACAAGCGAAACACCCAAGGTAAGTAAAGGACCCAGAATATCAAATATTGACGCCATATCCAATAAATGGCAGAGCGTCGGCTCCAGGATGTCAGACATTGATGGCGACACACTGGAACAAAGACAAACTTTTGTAGAGCCCATCGCTCCTACTCTCCACACTCGAGGCCAAGCAAAGTCGAATCAAACAAGAACCATAGATCGCCCCCAAGGACAAAAATTACATTATTTTATTCTTGCGCTTTGTAAACCGCTAGGCTGGGGTGTGTCCACTGCCTGGTTGCCCCGACCACGCCATTGCACTTACATGCGTGCAAATCCGTGGGGGGCTC